CAGGGTGTTAGAGTCACTTCAGGCTAATGGCCTCTAATTTAATTATTTTAACAGAAGGAACAAGATTTTCTTACCCTTTTCAGACAGAATGGTGGGGCCAGGGGCAGAAACAGGGCCAGAAGTGGGCACGATTTTCTAATCAAATTTCTCCATTGGTGGCCAGGCCTGGGAGCTAACCCCTGTAATTCCAGCACATTGGGAGGCCAAGGCGGGGGTGGGGGGGGGGGGGGGGGAACATATGAGGCCAGGGGTTCCAAAATACAAAAAAAATTAGCTGGCTGGGCATGGTGGCAGGCACCTGTAATCCCAGCACTAGGGAGGCTGAAGCAGGAGAATCACTTGAACCCGGGAGGCAGAGGTTGCAGTGAGCTGAAATCATGCCACTGCACTCCAGCCTGGGAGACAGAGCGAGACTCTGTCTCAAAAAAAAAGTCTAAAGATGGCAGCCTTAGCAGAGATAGGTGCCATGTGCTGCCTAGAAATATTTTTGTGGGAAAAATTCCTTGGACCACAGCGTCGAGTCAAGGAGACCAGCTTTCACAAAGGTTTGGAGTGGGTTCGGTTTTCTTCAGAAGAACTTCAGAATGCACCATGGCAGGAAAATCGTATTATAGGTGGAGTAAAACTCCAGGTTTAAGCTCAAAGCCCATAAGTTTTGCAAGCATCTGATGACGAAGAGAAAGATTTTTGAGACTGTTCCAGCCTATTAAATAAAATTAACATAACTGAGAAAAATAGCAAGCAAGCCAACAAATGTCCTCATCGGCTACTGGAGGGAACAAAGCAGAGAGCTTCTTTCCTCCAGCAGCCAACCTCAAGATTCTCACCTGGTTCTGAGGTGGCCCATGGTGACAACCTCGTTTCCTTTCCCCACAGCCATGGAGATTTGGGAAGTGATCTTTCTTCCTTGACACACACAATGTGTCCCACAAATACGTCATGGGGTTGTGGGATGCAAGGACCAGGTCACTCCTGAGGACTAAGGAGCTGGGCTTGGAGGCTGGCACAGAGAGTGGTGGCTGTTTGTCACCTGTTTGTGACTTTCAGTAAGACTGAGTCTCTGAGTCTCCGGTCTTTTACTCTTTTTTTTGAGAGAGTCTTACTCTGTCGCCCGGGCTGGAGTGCAGTGGCATGATCTCGGCTCACTGCAACCTCCACCTCCCAGGTTCAAGTGATCCTCATGCCTCAGCCTCCTGAGTAGCTGAGATTACAGGCCCATGCCACCACTCCAGGCTAATTTTCGTATTTTTAGTAGAGACAGGGTTTCACTATGTTGGCCAGGCTGATCTCAAACTCCTGATCTCAAGGGATACACTCACCTCGGCCTCCCAAAGTTCTGAGATTACAGGCCTCGGCCACTGTCCCCAGCCTGCACTTTACTCTCGTACCTGGATGGCTCCTCGGCCTTTCTCTATGTTCTCCCTTCTGCCACCACGTGTCTGTCCTGTGCTAATAACTGAGTACTGTGAAGTCAGTGAGTCCCAAGGCAGCACAATTCAGAGGTCTGAAGGGTGGGCTCTGGATCTTAATCCTCTCATCTTGGGACCATCAGCTATGTTCCTGGAAGCTTCTGCATCTCCCTCTGTGAAGTGGAGATCAGTAACTCCTATCTCCTCAGGCAGTGATGAGTCAGTGAGCTGATGAATGGAAAATGCCTGTGTAGGGCTGGGTGCAGTGGCCCATGCCTGTATCTCAGCACATTGGGAGGCTGAGGGGGGAGGTTTTCTTGGGCCTAGGAGTTGGATGCTGCAGTGAGCCATGATCATGCCACTGCACTCCAGCCTGGGTGACAGAGAGGAATACTGATTTGGAAAAAAAAATTTTTTTTTAAAAGAAAATGCCTCCAAAATAATAAGGGTTATATAAGAAAAAGAAAATGCCTATTTAGGAAACTCAGCTGCATTTCCAATTGTGATGTTTGTTTGTTTTTTACTTTTTGAGACTGAGTCTTGCTCTGTTGCCCAGGCTGGAGTGCAGTGGCGATCTTGGCTCACTGCAACCTCTGCCTCCCAGGCTCACATGATTCTCATGCCTCAGCCTCCTAAGTAGCTGAGATTACAGGCATGTACCACATGCCTGGCTAATTTTTGTATTTTTAGTAGAGACGAGGTTTCTCCATGTTGGCTGGGCTAGTCATGAATTCCTCAAGTGATCTGCCTGCCTTGGCCTCCCAAAGTGCTGAGATTACAGGCGTGAGCCACTGCACCTGACCCTATTAGGATGTTAGAGCAGAACCTTCAACTCCATACAGCATCCACAGCTGTCACATCTGGGCCTCCCTGGCATCTGATTGGCAAATCTGGGAGGGAAGACATAGCATGCTGAGCTCTGGAGCTTGGCCACCCACAGGTCAGCTGGGGAGCCTCAGGTCAGGCTCCACTCCCATGGGAGAGACCTGAAGATTTACCTCTGCCCAAGCCTCGTTAAGAAAATTGATTTTTTTTTTTTTTGAGACGGAGTTTCGCTCTTGTTACCCAGGCTGGAGTGCAATGGCGCGATCTCGGCTCACCGCAACCTCCGCCTCCTGGGTTCAGGCAATTCTCCTGCCTCAGCCTCCTGAGTAGCTGGGATTACAGGCACGCACCACCATGCCCAGCTAATTTTTTTTGTAGCTTTAGTAGAGACGGGGTTTCACCATGTTGACCAGGATGGTCTCAATCTCTTGACCTCGTGATCCACCCGCCTCGGCCTCCCAAAGTGCTGGGATTACAGGCTTGAGCCACCGCGCCCGGCCTAAGAAAATTGATTTAACTCAAAGGTGAAGTGTTAGTAAGCTCCCCTGTCCCCACTCCTGGCAATTCTAAATGCTGTGTCTTACAATTAGCTTCCTTAATAATAAAATGAATATTTTCATCTTCATCATTCTGCCTTTTGTGTCTTATTTTTCAGTTGATTCTACATTCTGTAAGATGGCCAGGCATGGTGGCTCATGCCTGTAATCCCAGCACTTTGGGAGGCTGAGGTGGGTGGATCACTTGAGGTCAGGAGTTCAAGACCAGCCTGGTCAACATGGTGAAAAGCCATCTCTGCTAAATATACAAAAAACAAACGAATAACAACAACAACAACCTGTAATCCCAGCTACTTGGGAGACTGAGGCAGGAGAATCTCTGAACCTGGGTGGCAGAGGTCACAGTGAGCCGAGATCACACCCCTGCACTCTAGCCTGGGCAATAGAGCAAGGCTCAGCCTCAAAAAAAAAAAAAAAAAAAAAAAAAATTAATTAAAAAAATAAATTCTGTAATGGAAGAAACAGATATTATTTACTGACCTCCTAAAACTCCAACAAAGTGAAAAATGCAAAACTACAATCTCAGCACTAACAGGCAGGTTCTAGAGCCCCTTTGAGCCCTAGGTAATTAAACTGAGCCAAAGAAGAAGGCATAATTTTACTTCATGGCAGCGTAATCTGTGCTGTCCTCACAGGCCATGTGTTAGCCAGGGCCTGGGGAGGATGATTCCCTCTGCTAGTACCGCACACCAGTGACTTGAAGCTGAAGCTAATGATTTTATTTTCTTAATTTAAAAAAATATTTTTTAGGCCAGGCACGGTGACTCATGCCTGTAATCCCAGCACTTTGGGAGGCTAAGGCAGGTGCATCACCTGAGGTCAAAAGTTCAAGATCAGCCTGGCCGATATGCTGAAACCCCATCTCTACTAAAAATACAAAAAATTAGCCGGCGTGGTGGTGTGTGCCTGTAATCCCAGCCACATGGAAGGCTGAGGTAGGAGAATCACTTGATCCTGGGAGGCAGAGGTTGCGGTGAGCTGAGATTGTGCCACTGCACTCCAGCCTGGGCAGTAAGAGTGAAACTCCATCTCAAAAAAAAAAAAAA